ATATATATATATATATATATATAAAGACTAAAATTTAAATATGAAGTTGTTAGAACCAAAATTAAAATAAATAAAAATTATGGAAATCCAAATCTTATTAAAATAATTGTTTTTGGCCATTTTATACTGCCTCAATGCAAGCCGTGATGTCCCATATAGTTTCTTCTATTAGTAGTCGAAATATATATTGTTTCATAATATTATCCAGCATCCCTAAATTGTCTAGTAAGTCACCCAAAAAATTTTCGCATACGTTTTATTTATTCATTTTTTTTATAACCAAGCATAATTCATATAACTTAGTTTTTGCTTAAATATATTTTAATTCTTATAAATATCTTCTTTTATCAGTTTTAATATTCATAAAATTTATTTTTTTTCAACAAATCTTATTATCATGTTACATTAGTGATGATGTAATACACATCTAAACATATTACTTTAGCAACTATTCTAAAATGACTAGAAACATTTTTTACATGTTTAAAATTATTTTACATGTTTAAAATTCATAAAATTATTTTACATGTTTAAAATTTATAAGAACTAAAAGCAATAAATAATTTTTTTTTGAAGAACTAAACGAAAAATGACTAGAAACTTCTTTTTTGTATTTCTTTTGTATGATTTCTCATGGCTTCCAATTGTAATAACTTGTAAGTATACTTTAGATCAAACGAAAAATTAAAAAAAAAAAAAAAAAAAAAAGGCATATAGACTTTTGGAAGGGGGAAATTGCTTTAAATCGACTTCAACTAGATTATATAGACTTTGGTTGAATCATGGCTACCTGTTCACTTCCTTAATTTTTGTCTAGTATTAGCGTAAATCCAAATAGTTGGTAACAAAATTATTTTATCACCTTAGTAGATTGACTTATTACAAGAACCTTGTCATCAGTGATTTCTTTTCTAGCTTATATATATCATTCACAAAAAATGCTACCCAATATGAATTCCAGTTGTCAGACTAATAAGATGTATCTCGCTCTTACACCCATGCATTTTTTTCCATTTGTGAAAATTTGTACATCCCACTCAAAAGCAATGTTCTATAATATATTAAAGAAGAATAATGTCAAACACTAATGTCTTTATATTTGTAACATTAATGAAGTTTTTCGAGTTCTGTTGGAATTATTTCACAAAATAATATTCTGCTTCAATTTACATGCATTCCAACAACTAATTCACACGACATTAATCGTTTTAAGTGTTATACTGTACCCCCTAAAAATTAAAGCTCCAAATAATTTTTAAACCAACTACCAACACGTTCCTTTCTCTAAATTTTGTGACCCTGTAATGATCACCTAAGTATATATACCTTCTGTGTAACATTCTTAATTTCTACATGTGCTTTTATGTGGAATTTTAGTTGAAAAAACTAGGCCAGGGTTTAACTTTTAACCTTTTAATCATTCCAGGAAGAAGGGTGGGTTGTGTGTAGAGTGTTCAAGAAGAAAATGGCAACAATGCAGAAAGTGGGAGAGTATGATCAGTCACCCTGTTGGTACGATGACCAAGTTTCCTTCATGCAAGATCTTGAATCCCCAAGGCGCATTTCTCAGCCTTATGCATCATACCACCAGCACCAACCCTGCAAGCCTGAGCTCATGGAATTGCAATACAACATACCCCACGATGCTTTTCTCCAACTTCCTCAACTTGAAAGCCCCAAAGTTACTCAATCTGCAGCAAGCTTGAGTTGCAGCTCAGTTGTCCCTTATGGTTATGAAAACAACAACAATGGAAGCACCCTGCAGTTCTCATCACTTACTCAGGAAGAACAGATACAATATTTCCATCAACAAAATAATAACCATTCTCTCTATGGTAGCAATGATCATGCAGTTGACCAAGTGACAGATTGGCGAGTACTTCACAAATTTGTTGCCTCTCAGCTCAGTCACAACAACCAAGATGTTTCCAAGGAAAACAGTTATTCCAATGCACCTATCTTCCATGTGGCTGATCAACAAATTTCTGTGGTTGACAACGGGTCCAAAAAGGAGCAAGTTTCCCAGGAGTATGCTTCAACGTCAACCTCCAGTTGCCAGATTGACCTGTGGAAGTGAAAATTTATATATATAGTAAGTAAAAGATGCATAATACTAATTATAGGAATTACGTACAAGTGAATGTTGGAAAAAAAGACCATATAGTGTTGTTCCGTGTTCTTGTACATAATAAAACCATATGTTTTATATATATCATTAGTTGTTGAACTTCTGGAGGCTGGAGTATGGACCAGAATGTATTCATTATATTAATACTAAAGGCACTTTATCAATTCACAAAATTCGCCTATATTGCAAACAAATTAGTCCTCAAGGTCAACTCTACAGCAGGAAGTGATTGTGGGAAGAGTTCTGTGAATTAATGTTAAAAGTGTGATTTGTTCACTACAGTACCGCTATTAATTTTGCGTTTACAAATTATTAAATTTACATTTATTCAGTTTGTACTTGAAATAACCAATTACTTTGATCTACCAGAAGTGTTCTATAAGAATGGAGGGATGAGATTTGAGAATCTAAACTGAACATGCATCTGATATATACCTTCGTCTCCATTGTGCCAGTTTAGAATTGACTGTATGTCGAATTCTGCATGTGTACCATTTCTATATATGTAGTTTATAAGATGTGAAGATTTAAACAACAGCCAGAGTTAATCACCGAAAATCATTAACTAAACGCGTGTCTTCATTCGTTAGTTTTGTTCGTAAGAGTGGACAGCTGGACTCTCAGGTTAAATTTTAACGAGTTATGCTTTTACAATTGGGAAAAAGAAACCAATCATCTTTTTTTTATGTGTTTTACCTTATTTATTTTGTCAATGACTCGCTATTATCTACTTTGTATTTCGTTAAAAAAATTTACTCATATTATTTCTTACACTTCATGTAAGAAAGACTTCGTAACATATAGTAATGCTAATTACAATTACTCATAGTCATAAACGGGCTAAAATGATAGCATGTAAACTCATATTTTGTTAAGGCATACGAGTTTAATGAAACTATATATTCTAGAATTTGGCAAATTCTCAAGCTTAATAATGACATAGTGAGCTTGGATTTTTACATATGGTTTTTGTTCTTGGGTACTATCGTTAATTTGCCTTATTTTATAAGGGTTGTATTACTATTACGCATTTTTACAATTCATTTTTATTAATTTTTTTCCTCTTAGTTTTAAGAATATTATATTAGAATTTCTCATTCTGTAATATGTTTTGGTTTGTGAGGGTTTTCATTGTTATTTTTGTTCTTAAATAACAAAATAATTAATGAAGTGTTGAGACAAGGATAATATAACAGTTTGGTTAAATAGAGTTATATTTATTTTACAACTCTTTGCTTTGCTTTGTTATGAAGTTTAGATGTTAGTTAAGAATTATGTTATGCCAAGATATACGTTTTAAAAAGGATATAAAGAGGAATTTCACTCTATTGACATTTTGACAAAGATACAAAAGTATAAATATAATCGATAATATATGAACACTTCTATATTCATACACTTATTTTGACACATTTAATTTACTTCTCTTAGGGTCTCTCTCTTTATATTACTTACATATCACCTATCATATCTTCACTTCTTTTTATTTTATCTCTTTTTCTCTTTACATGTTAAATAATATCAAGGTATCTATTATAATTTTTTTTTCTTCTTAAATGCTATAACATGATAAGATTAGTGATATATATATTAAAAAGAATGTCAAATGACTGTTTGCAGATTGCAGTATACGAGAGTCCATATGTCATTATATAATATTTTTGAAGCATGTAAACTACCTTGTTTTTAGTCAATATATAGTACGAACTGGACCGTGTTAATTGTTGAGATTGCACAAGTTTACCTAAACTTTCGATTATACCTCGCCAATAAACTAATGTATGATCACTTGTAAATGGAGTCATTCTATCAGAAGTCATGTTTATTTATTATTTTTTCGAGGATACGATAAAGCCGATATCTTAACGCAAAAAACAAGTTGTGTGGGAAGATAAAACGTTACGTGACATTTCCCATATTAAATACTTTTCAAAATTAATTCTTCTTCGGAGTACTTATAGTTAAAGGGACAGATAGGATCAGTGTTAGTGTCTTTCTATGTATCAAAAACTACAGCGACATATAATTCAAGAGGGGGATACAAAATTAGAGAAAAATGGTATAATAAAAAAGTGTTGTCAGTGTAGTATTCCTTCTAAGTTCTGTGCATGTTGATGCGTGTAATTCAAAAAGGGTTGGAGCTTCTTAACTTTGAGATGTTGTTCCCTAAAACAATGCAGCAGTAATAGCTTAAAACTAAAAAGCAACTAAAGAGTAAAGCAAGCGGAGATCCAATATCCAATGAATCGCTAATGCATGCATGAAGTGTCAATCAAGAACTTAAAGCTATACCAAACTTCTATGGAATTGATCAAAATTCACGAGTTTAACAGTACAGTTGATTGCAAATTGAAACAAATGATCATATCAACTTGTCGAGAAGATACAGATTACTGGAACTCTTGAATCCTAAAATACCATTTTATATCATACTAATAGTACTATTATTACCTCAACTAAGAGACATATTTCGCTCCATATTCAGGGCATACCTGTGTTATATATGAAGATGGTTCCTCAGCGTCACCTGCCAAAACATTCCTCCTTCTAGCTCATGCGTTCTCTTGGTCTCTTGCTATAACGTGCTACTTTGAGTACTCAGTGTGCGAGTGGTCATACACAGTCTCAAGTGTTTCAACATAACCGGGTCCAAGTAGAGGGATTATTCAAAAGTTCCACCATGTGACGTGAGTTTTCAAAAGTTGCTGGTTTATATACCCGTAACAAAGCAAATAGATCTTAAAACAGCCAATCATATGTGAGATTGCGATTCAAGGACAAGGAGTAGTTGTTATTTGTGTGGCTGTCATTGAAAATTGAGGACAAATAATAAATTCTTTTGTCGGAGTCAATTAAAGAAAGAAGCAAACTAAATTCCTTTCAAGTAATGGCACGACACAATGATTAGGCGTGCTCCCATAAACTTAATCATGATGCATGTTTCAACTCATAGTCAGACTCGTCACTTGCACAGAAAGAGAGGAGTGTGAAAGAGCTTAGCATGCTTGCCTGAAGGATTCTCTCATATGGATGAGGATTGAGGAGGGAGCACCACCAGAGCAAAACTTTAATCAAAAGTTTCTTTCGTACCTCATTTGACTTAATGACTTGTAGCTGTAGTCTTTATTAGGGTTTATCCTCATAATATTGCTTCACATGTTTTCTTCGGCATAATAGAGTAGAGAGAGATTATAGCCTTGTGTTCACCCTGAAATTAAAGCCAAAACAAGCAAGTCATGCGCATTGATGCCGTGTGTGACTGAATAAGTGGGGTTTATTTTTTGGTTAGATTGACCATGTTATTCAGCTCCATATTAAGGTAACAATAACATCGTTACAATGTCCTCGTTCAGTTCCCCAAATTTTCCAAACTCCCTCAGTTACCGGAGTTACAAAAATGCTCATCCTTCTTGCCAAATACAGCAATCTCTTTAATTAATAGAAAAATTGAAATAAATTTTATTAAAAAAAAAGTAAGAGGGAAAGA